GCTACTAAGCTAAGCATTACGCACCGGCTTACACGCGTATCTACATTAATATATTATTGGCGAGAGCTATGACTCTCTCTCGCGCGCTTGAAACATGAGACTCAAAGAAAAGGAAAACAATTTTGGTCTAAAATTATTAATTAAGCGCACTTTTCATTCTATTATTTGCATTTAGGACTTTTAAATACACTTTTACATTTTATTCCTCTAAGTCTTACAATTAGTGCATGCAATTAGATCGTTCGTGTTCTGCGTATTTCTTTTCTTTGAAATATTAAAAGCACCTGGCTAAACAATACATCGTTTTCTTTCTTCCTTTCTTTTTTAAATCTCTTCTTTTTTTTTTAATATACAAGCTTACAAATATTTTCTGAAGATATTAAGATATGAAGGATGTAAGAATCACTTAGTAATTTTTATATACTTGTAAAAGTGAGGAAAATTAACCCAGACACGAACGATCTATCGTGTGCAGAAAAGAATTAAAAATTTATCGTGTGTACTAAAGGTTAGATAAACAACTCTGGAATAGCTTGATTTTATTTTAATTAACGATTTAAAAAGATAAGAGTAGTTTTCTGTGAAAGTATAGCGAAATACAAGAAAAAAAACCTCATGGCATAATCATAAATGAATATTTGAAAAAAAAAACCATTTTGTTGTGCTTTTAAATATCGCTAATTAAAGAAGTAGATGATACACGATGACACGCTTGTTGCGCACATTGTTCAGATTTTTCACGATGATTTCAAGGCAGATTGTATATTTTATACGGTGGGACAGGAAGTTTCATTGTCGACGCAACGCAAGCGAAAGAGAGCAAGAAACATGGTTTCCTTTAGGTACTAGACCATTGCATGTGAGCGACAGAACGCTGTTAATATATCCTGAAGAGCGAGATACATGACAAACAGGTTTCTCCGTAGCGTTGTGTAGCGTTAAGAAGCCATTGAAGCGAGCGGTGCCAAGTTCCTATGGCAGGTGATAACACGGCTTGAGAAGATTCTATCGACGATACTGCCGGATTACGCGGAACGGATTTAAAACTATAACGTTTACACCTTAAAGACATTTTGGCACGGTACAAATAATGAAATTGTGAAAATTGTCGTAATATTAACATCAAGTGAAACAGAGTCAAAAGCAATTGACTTGATTAATGAAACGTTTTTATTTTCTTAAATTTAATAGTGAAAGTGTCCTCATCTTTTCACAGATAATAAAAACTTTGGCTATTCGTCATAATTAAATTTCTGTCTTCCTTTTATCATTGAGCTTTTGATTAATGTGTCTAGACTTTAACAGCCCAGCGCATCCTGTACAAAGCATTTGACTTTGAATCATACGTTTGTAAATCGTGGGTAGGTTCGTATCAAGTGAGTATATAGGGGTCTTCGTCGCTCGTAGCAAAGCACCGAGAGATCATACGGGCAATGCCATTAACACCAGGAACGGTTCTAACAGCGGCCTTAGCCAATCGGACTGCAACTCGGACTGCAAGTCCAGCGCACCCTCGCACGTAACACTGCAAGGGCCAGCCAGCCACTTTCTATGCACTCGGCAGCGGCAGTAACAGCAGCCGAGTGCGTGGCGGACAAACGCCTTTCCCGGGCTGGCCCTTGAGGTCAAAACTATTTTTCACTGTGCTTTCAGATAAATTATGCATGAATCGTGACCTCGCGGGCGCAAGTATAATGCCGTTAAATACGAGCCATGCGTGACTCGCGAGCTGGGTAACGCACACGGGCTTGGAATCGGCTCTTGATGGCCCACCCGTGTCCTTGTCCAATTTCTCACACAACGTCCTTTCATTCTTCCCCTTTCTCCTCGTAAAGCTGCTCTGTCGCACGAAAGACGTCATCTATACAAACGTCTCTCCCGGCTTCCGTCACCTCACGCTTTCGACGACTCTCCACGGTCCTTTCACATCTCTGAATAGCTCCGCCGAGACTAATTTAAGGAGTAGTCAAGTGTTAAAAGCCTTGTGTACCGACGTTAGTATTTGACTGATAACTCATCCCGTTTAAAATGCACGGCGAAGAACCGCTAGAATGGCTTCTTCAAACCTAACCAGGCCTATTATAAATAACAGCGCGTTAATCGTCGTATTGTAGAAGAGTCTTTGCACTGAAAGAAAATTTTACAGGGAAAGAAATGATTTTGCTCAAGTATTTAAAAGTTAGACAGACTTGGAAATAGCTTTGTTGAGCCGCGTCAAAATAATTGCGTACGAAAATCTCAAGCATGATGAGCAATTTTACACAAAGTTTTGATATTTTATACTATACAACCAATTTGCGTACTGTACAATTATTTTGATGGCTCAACGAAATGATTTTCAGATCTGAATCTTTACGGAAAGAACGATTTTTTTTTACTAAAGCATCTAAAAGTTCAACTAGATAGATAGATCTGAAAATAAATTTTGTTGGACTATCAAAATAATCATGTCGTATGCTTAAGTTGATTGTTAGAATATAAAAATATTTTACAGCATGCTTGAATTTTCTACATAAATATTTTGATAGACTAACAAAATTGTTGTCAGATTTGTATTTAGCTAAATTTTTAGATATTTCAACAAAATCTGTGTAACTAAGTTTCTAAATTTCGATAAAATCATCCTTTTGTGTACCAATCATAAAGTTTAGATAATAAAAAGGATACACACGAAAGTTATGAATCTGAATGAACTTAGAACGTTTGCTTCCTCAATGCTGCGAAAGTCCGATTTCTGTTTGAATGTGGATGTAAAAATCGCAAGCATTTTGCCTTTGGGATCGACATTATATGTTACATCGTACCGTTTCAAAGTAACGTACTATTGGATATTTACATGCAGGCAAAATTGTGAGGAAAATTAGTAGGTGTTGAGTGGAATCATCGTTGTCGAGGCTAAGTTTTCTTTATATCATGGAAGAAAATCGAGATCTACATTCGCAAAATGATAAAAATTAATTTCCATAATTATCTTACAACCGCGACGATCACTATATATCGCTGTAGAAAACTCTCGGCTCGGTTTCTTGTCGAGACATAATATCGCAGGACACGTAAAAAAAAAAAAAATAAAAATGCACTTATTAAACAATCCAAGTGCAAGCTATCGATTGAGTGTACATAGAACAATTGATTGATTCAGCTCTTATTGAGATTATTGATAATTGTGAATTTAAATAAAGGAACACTGCAGTTTGATATGCTTTTTGTATATTACATTCTATAATTTTTATAGATAACGTTTATGAATAATTAAATTATGAATTTAAAAGAAAAAAATAAAAGGAAAACGCAAAACAGAAAGTCTTCTTCCATTAACATATATTAATTCAAAATAATGCTTCTAACTTTATATTAATTAATAATTGATTTTATTTTACCGATTAATGTGTATTTAAATAAAAAAATTAATTAGAGTATAGAGGCATTTAAATTAAAATGAATTAATATCATTTGATATTCGGAAATATATTTTAACATCCTGCTTATATACTTGTTGCGAAGTTATCTGAGAATATTTTTAAATATTTTTAAAATTATTAAGCGATATCTGATGAGATCATTACCGAAAGATGTGAAATTGTAGGGAGATACAAGGTAGATTACTTTGTATACATCATATTTTTATCCATCATGTGCATTCAACCCTTATTGTAGCGGTTTTACGGACATTAGTGTAAGACCCCTATGTTCCTGCGCATTCTATTATATCCTTGAATATCGTACTTAACGTCGGAACAGCCCGTAATGCTGTATAATTCCATAATGCGCGCAATATAATGTGCTCGCGAGTTTATCATTATCAATTCATAAATCTCACGTTGGTAGTTATATGTACAAATTTTTCATTGCATAAAACAACGCGAATTGTATTAAATGAATTATTAAATGAATTATTTAAAGCAGAATAAAATTTAATGCAGTAAGCATAAAAACCGTGCATTTTTTTAAATTTATTTTATCAATATACTGTAGAAAATTTACTTAAATATAAAACAAAATCTAAAAAGTGTTCGTTCAAATTTTTAAACAAAGTGTGATATGATATACATTTATAATTAAATAATTGTACCATAAAATTTCCTTTGTATCTTGCCAATTTCATAGACACTACTATGTTTTCAAATTATTCATTAAAATATCAAATTTATTGAATTAACAATATAAATTTTGCAATAATAAACATAAATATCAAAACAAGTAAGCTTGACGTAACGTTTAATTATATCGAATGTGTAATGTTCAAAAATTATATACAAAACTAAGATTCCCATTCAAATCTTTGTTAAATTGAAAATAAAAAATCAATTTTGTATACAAATTCGAATTCATCACTCATTTGCTATAATAACGATACAATTACAAAACCTGCTTTTTAATTGCAAAAAAGAATGAAATATGAAAAAAAACGTACTTTAAAAGAACATACTGTATACTTTTATAATCATTACACCAAAATTATTTGAAAATTAATACTACAAAATTCGAATAGTTTGAAACACTCAAACTTGTTTTTCTGAAATATTTTTTTAGTTTTATATCATTTATTAGCAAATGAACGATATAACTTGTTTTCCGGCGCCTTGTAAAGGGAACGCGTTTTTAACGCAAAAAGTTCTATCTCCGCGGTATCGGCGCGGTCGCGTAAAGCACAAGCAAGTTCTTCATTATCGCTGCAGCCCAAATTGCGTAGGCGTATCCGTACCTTCGTACACACACACACACACACACACACACATACACACACGTTACCTTGACGTATGTACTACGTGTGTACACGTATGTACACGCACAACGGTCCCGCGATCCCTACGCGACGCGATATGTGCGTCGCACACACCTTTGCAGTAACGAACACGCGCCGCCGCATCATTCGTATCCGTGTGTATTCGGATAGTGGGGAACGATCCGGGCCGAACGTAAACGGAAACGACCGAGCGCCGCGGAGCCGGTTGTGTCGCGCGGCAGCGAGTCAGTATCGCGTCAGTTCCGAAGTGAGGCTGCTCAGTGATTTGTGTCAGAGCAGGGGTCCACTCTCCGCGTCCGTCACTCTCTCTGTCTCTTTCTCTCTCTCTCTCTCTCTCTCTCTTTTTCTTTATCTCCTTTTCTCTCTTCCTGTTTTACGCGACCTACGCCTCCCTTTCGGTTCTTCTTCACTTCGCTTCCCGTCGCCGCGTTATATACCGTCGCGTCGTCTCTCCGTTTCCGTTCGCGCGTTCCTTCCAAGAGATCAATGTATCCCGGTCTCCCGGTTTCTCCCCGGGTACCCGCGAGATACACGTACACGGTAATACACAGTGCCACAGTGTGGAGTTGTTACCAGTGGGGAAAGAGCAAAAATTAAGTTTACGTGCGGACGTGCCACGCACTACACGACCTTGGTCCACCACCATCAACAACCAACCGACACCGACCACAAGACAGCTTAGTTTTATCAAGTAAGCTTTTTATGTTCAATGATCTTTCGATGATTCGTGCGATCATCTGTCACAATCGCGATGCCAATTGGCGTCGATCGATATTATGAAAAACTAACGCGCGTGCGAGCGGAGTTTTTGAAGTTGTCTTTTACAAAAATCTAGTAGCGAATTCGGTTACTTGCACTGGAGTAGTGCATACTGCAAGCTAGTGTACGTGAAGTTAATAAAGTTAGATGTAAAAACGTATGAGTATTTTAAACGAGTAAGTGCCTAATAATGATATTGTCACTGTAGGTTTATTCGCGTTGCTTAAAATCCTTAAAGATTTTTTACATTTAAAACAAGATAGATTTATATTTACAGTGAGAAGAGAGAAAGCGAAGGTGCTGAGTGCAAAAAGTGCAAACAATGCAATAATTCGGCCCTTATTTTGTTTAGTAACAGCCGGAATTGGGATTTATGCCATTCCTACGCAATTTAATCGTTGCCATTCTACTCAAGCTTCAAATGTGACTTAATCTAAATTAATGGAATTTTATATTCTATTAATTTTCTCAATTATTTGCGTTTGACAAAAACTGGCAATTTTTGAAGAAATTCTTTTTAAAAATGTTGCGCCTTTAAATTTCCCGCCGCTATGTGTAACTTAAAGGTCTGTTCTTTTTTCACCTCAAGTTCTGAACTGATGTACCCTGATGCACAATAAATTAGAGTAAAACAGAAAGTTTGTTTCACTCTAACTTATTGTACTAATTCAGAACTATTCGAAGAAGAACAGATCTTAAATTACCTGGTCGTTAATACATCATTTAATGGAGTATACATGAATTATTTGATTATATTATACCACTGTATTTAGATAATTTACATAAAGCAGTTTTTAAAGCACTAAAAGTCCAGTGTGAGTGATCGAATTCACTGTATCATTGTACTGTATCAATGTACTCGTAATCCTAAAAGACAGTTATTTATTTATTTTAAGCATTATAAGCACTAAAACTCCCATTAAGAGCATTAAAAGCAAAGTTGTTCAGTGCCTTTAGTACTCCAAATAAATAATTGGTTATTGTTTTTCAATAATAAATTGGCCGGTATTGGATTTCTATCGTCCGGTTTTTCATATCTTTCATATTATCTTATTAACTTGTTCAATCTTACTTAACTTGAGAATAATATAAAAATTGTATTTTTCTACATATAACTAATCACTGAACTGATTTCGTAGAGATAACTTTAAAAGTTTTTCACTACAAAACTATCAGTGATTAACCATAGATAGAAAAATATAATTTTTACATTATAATCAGATTCAGTTTAATCGCAATTAAGCAGCAAATGAAAAATTGAGTCTATAGGGGATTTTATGCTGGTAATGTTTTTTTTTATATTCGATTCAGCTTAATACGCATGAAAATCACGTTTATGAAAATCAGTTATATTTAATACGAAAAAGAACTGTATTGTAAACTCTGTTCTGCATAAACTTATATTTTTATGAGTTGACTCATTTTTATACATATAATCTCTGTGCTTGACAATGTACGATATCTCCGAAACGGGAATAAGCTCCGTTCTGGACCATTTAAATCTGCATAACGTGTTTATTACGGCAAGGTCAATTTCTTGGTTAAATAATGTATTTCGAGATAAAATCTTAATACGTACAAACGCACGCATACACATACGCGTTCTGGTATATAAAGAAATCTGATATCTATTTAAAGCGATCTGTATTTCAGAAATTATCCAATTTTAAGAAAGATGTTATAAAAAAGCCTGTTTTTGTTGTGCTTGGGAATATTTTTTCTGGAATATTTTAAATGGCATCATCGGCGGACATTTCTCGCCTCGAAAATTATAAGAAATGATGTCTATTTTACTTCTTATAGTTTTTGAGGCAACAAATTTGATGATGTTAGTTAAAATTATATCAGACGACGAGACATAAATAATTGAGTTTAATCTTTAAATAGGTAGGCGGTTTAAAGATACATAAGTTGGTAGATGGAGGTGTTTATAACATTCTCAAAAAATTTTAATTGCATGATTATTTTTTATTAGTTTATTATGTTAGAGTTAAATTTATATCAGTTATACCCTTATGAGAGAAGAATGTAAAAATAATGAACTTCATAAGAGTTCTGAACATCTAAGTTGTATTTATTTTTTCTTTTTTAAAACAAGATTTTAAAGAAAGTGAATTATATACCTGGAATGCTGTGACGTTACTCCATCTATCTATTTAAAATCAGGAAAATACGTGGCGTTATGGAAATTCACGAGACAGGTTTGCTACATCATATTTTGACATTAAAGATATAGACTGTCTTATAAAAATATTATATTTACATATTTAATAGCGAAAACATTAGACGCATTGGAAAGTTTCCGTTTGCATCTGATATTCTCGCTACTAAATATAACATTTTTATGAGATATTTTATATTTTTAATGTCCAAACATGTGTATACACTAACATATGTATTATTGATTGATGTAGCAGAGCGACTTATCTTGTGAATATTTACAACACCACATACTTTTCCAATTTTTAATTCAATTTTTTGTGTGTCCTGGCATTGTAATGTAATTTTAACTGGCATCACGGATTTTTTTTGCCTCAAAAATTATAAGAAATAATACGTATCTATTTTAATTTCTCAAGCACAGCATAAATATAACAAGCCTTTTCGAAATAAGACTTGTTGTATTTTATGTATTTTTATATTTTATATACTTTCTTTTTTCTTTAACTAAGTATGTTTTATAGTCTAAATAATATAAGTAAACATTTATATTATTATATTTACAGAAACACGCAAATACTTTTTTTATCTTGTTGTTCATTTTTTTTAATGTTTTCTAATATATTTCCGTATGACTTGAAAATCTTTTTATGAATAAATGTATAATTGTAACAGTACACATTTTCCACATTTGCATTCTATATTAATATATTTGCAGTGGTATTTTTAAAATGGTAAATTATTCTTTTGTTGCTTTGTTCTGCTCTATATTTAATAGAGAATTAAGCTATTGAACTTATGCGGGTATAGATTTTTTGTACTCTCTCTACGCGCTGATAATGTACTCTGAATATGCGAATTGAAAGCGCAACTTGAATCACCACATTGTGTGTAAAATTGAATGTATGTCACGTTTACGGTGGTGATTAGTAATCGGAGCACGAGCACCAATTACACTTGAAAAAGTCAATGTTACCGGGAAAGGTTTTCGTGTACGCTTACGCAATCGTGCGCGATTCAATCCGTTGTAACATTGTTCCGGGTTTATCCGGCTAGAGAAAGTGCAGGCCAGTCAGACGTTGTCCTCTCTGCTCACTGTGTGTGCCATAGAGGTCGAATCCAAGGTAAAATGAATACTCGTCGGCGAAACGAATCAATTCCTCGTGAAAATTTCTATTTTTCTGGAAAGCATACGTGAAAGGCTTGATGAAAATAATACTCTTTCATATAATGTAACGCAGTAATGCACAACTTTTCTTAACTTCCGTTCTACAATCTGTGTCTTTTTGTCTCAAATGAAATTTTATTTTTAAATTTCTTCCTCATTTTTACTCAAATTTCATTTTTATTAAATAAAGATTTTTAACATTTAAGTTAAAAAAATTATTTAGTAATGTAAAAGAACGTTGAAAAGTAATTCTGAATTTTTCTACGTATATTAAAAAAAAACTTAAAAAACTTAAAAAAACAGTGAAAAAATTTAGATTGAAAAATTGAAATTGCTAATGTGGAGGGAGTAAAAATATAATTGCAGACGGATTTATAATCATTTAATTGTGCGTCGGTACGCACGTTGAGGATTCTCTTATCATCATTTCATGTGTTTCCACATTACTACTTATTATTATTTCGGACATTAATAAATCTAAATAAGATAAAAAATATGATTGTTGAAGAGTAGAAATATGATTGCAGACGGTGAGTTAAGGATTATTTTCAGAGGACTATTTAAAAAAAAAAAAGACAAAAATCTTTCAGGCCGCATAATGTAATTTGATCTGCATAAAATGAAAAATATGATTTTATATTTTTGACTAAGAGTTGGCGGACCGCAAAAAATTCACTAAGAGGCCGCATACGATCCGCAAATTGCACATCACTGATGTAATCTATAATTTTTTCATCGACGATATATCTTTCTTATTAACATTTAAAAGTTTAGAAAATCTCGATTTAATATGGACTTCGAAATAAAATGGCTAATAAAATACATAAATTAATCGTATTATAAATATACATGAGAGAATTTTTTCTTAGTTACCTGAAAATATGCTAGTTCTGAGACAACATTGTATTATTCGAAGAATTTTATGTAAATTTCTCTCATTCATTAATAAAACTATAATAAAATATAAAATAAACTTAATTAATCGTACTGAGAAGTGGTAAAAAAATCTTTAAAATATTGTATTGTACCACAACTACCATATATATATTTTTCAGATGAATTTTAAAAGATAATTTTCTCCGTGTATATTTTTCATTTCGTATATCAAGGTACACTCTCGCTTCAGCTTTTAATGATATTTGCAATCTCGTAAATAAATTATATACACACCGGAAGTATCGATTAAACGTATGACTTTATGTAACCGCTAATTATGAGATAAATACAGACGCGATTTTTTTTTCTCTTGCCTGATGTGTAGAGAACACGGTTCTCAATAGAGCGGTTATACATTAGCGTAAAGTGAAAAATCTCCGACGGTTTTATTTCCTTTGTTAATTATTATCCATCGCGCCGATCAAAGCATCGTTCGTTCTCGACGCGATAAATATAAAACAATTACGAGCTATCGACGTCATCATAGCGACGGTAACGTTCATTAATTCGGAGTTATTCTCGCGCGAATTAACTCGATTTATCGAGGCGACGACTCGCCGCGTCGAATCGTCTCGCCGTCGCGATTCTTCTCTTCTTTCTTTTTTTTTTTTTTTCTCCTCTATTTTTCTCTCCCAGCGGGTAACTACGCTTCTCCGTGTACAATATCG